CAATAGATCCCTTTCTAAAGTTAAATCCAAAAGGAGATCCAAAACCAGTGTATCCTCTCAATAGGATTCATACATCAGTGTTAGACCTAAACCTAGGTCTCGGCCTACCCTTCCCGCCCATTCTTCCAAAGTACCCCTCAAAATCTCAAAAACACAAGTATGCACGCACACAAGGAATCTGCATATTATCCACCTGCTCCTTTTTAAAAGGGTGGTGATGGTATTGACACAGTTACTTGAAGACCCTTCTAACACACTCACGAGTCACTCTAGAGCCTCTTTATTCTACGCAAGCACGACTTATAGCTTCCATGGTAGATTCTAAGCTTTTTGAACAAACAGTAGTCCCTCCAAGTTCAGAAGCCACAACCGAACGGATACCCACCATGGGTAATGCATGTTCGGGTGCTACTAACTTAAATTGGAATGCTTTACTTGACAGGTCTTGTCCCTACCATCCAAATCTCTCTAATCCTCAAATTGAATACACCATTATTGGGCTGTGTGTGACAACCGTCAAAATCTGAGTAGGTTCTAGATTTAACTAAACTTAGTTGCACTTATAGGCACGACACATACTATACTAAGTAACTAGAAACTAAGTTATCACCTACTAGAAACTTGGAAACAATTAGAATCAATGGATAGACTTAGATTTCACATTGATATGTGAATTCTACAACTACTTAACTGTAGACAATATCCATATTCGGGTCACTCGTTGACTCGAACACCTTTTCATGAATCATATACACACATCATGCACTTGACCTAGGAGTAGAAATTCGGTCAAAGTCTCATAGAAACTTAAGTCGTACATTGAAGACTATGACTAGTATACTTGATTCCTCAATTTCGGTTGAATTTCGAAATAATTACATAGAATGCCAATAAACTGATAAAAATAAATTACAAACATTATTTATAACTATAAAATAGTTATAATACCATAAGATAATTTGAAGTCTCAAATATTCAATTTATTTTGATATTCAAAGTTTATTAAACTCCAAAACCTTAAAAGCCCAAAAACCTAAATTTTATAAGTTTAACATCAAGAATTTTATAAAAATAGTTATGAACCTCATAATATGATCTTATAATAATTAAAATTATAATGATTCATTCAAGGAAAATAAAATTTAATTCATTAACATTTACCCTGAATTTATAAATAAAAAATTAGGGTTTTATGAATAAAAACTTGATTTTAGTGCACATTTTATATAAAAATTGAGATATTTTATAAAAGAACTTCAATTTTATAAAAGAAAATGAATAAGAAAAGGTTATCATAATCAAAAATTCGGATCTCTCTCTCCCCATATCTCTCTCACACTCTCATTCTCCAACACACACACACACACATCTCTCTTCTTTCTCTCTCTAGAAAACTATCTCTACCTTCTCTCTAATTTGTTTCTCCAAACACCACTCCATTCTCTCTTCCTCCCTCTAAGAACCACGAAAATTTCCAGAAAACAAACCCAAGAACACTCCTCAAACTCGATATCTTCATCATCTTGTGGTGTTCTTGAAGGTAAAATTGATTTCTACTTCACTTTTCCTTCAAGTTTTGCTATTTTTCTTACACTTTCTACTTCTTCATCTTCTTCAAACTTGTTTTCTTTTTTTGTTAAAATAGTTTTTAGAACATCATGGATGTGTTTTAACACCATGACTGTATGATAAACAAGGTTTCATGTTGATGATCTTAGTACAAAAAAACGATTTTAAGGATTTAAAACATCAAACTCAAGTAAAAAGTTTTTGAGAAACAAAATTTTGTTCATAAATGCATGTATACATTTTGATAAATTTTAATATTTTGATCTCTGCAAACATGACTAAAATATGATTTATCATGATATATTTAAAATATTTCAAAAGATTTACTCAAGGAACTGCTGAAAACTCACTTTTCTAACCAATCATCATGCATGCAATCTACCAGATTTCTTTACCTGACTTTAAACTACCATATCTCACTAATTTATTAACCAAAACTAGTGATTCTTTTTCTAAATATAATATTTTGAGTTAGCTTTCAAAACCATTTGACCTCACTGGAAAATTCTAATATTTCGATTTTTAACAATTTTTATAAAACTGTTGCTCAAACAGCACTTTCCTTGTGAACATTTGTTTTGTGTTGCATGTTCAAAGGACTTCTTCATCACTAAAAATAATTCAAAAAATTAATTTGAGCACTTAACATCATGTATTAAGAGGTATAGAAATATCTTGATTCAAAAGTCTTTGGAACATGTTGCAAAAATTCTCAAAGTAACATCAATAATCTTTACCAAAATCACAAGAACCAAGTTTTCTCTATAATTGTTTGAACCTTTAGGCATGTTCTCAACATCAAAAATAAGAAAAAAAATTCATTGTTATTAAATTGTTTGAAGATACATTCTGGAAAGTTTCAGCTCAATATATATTTTGTTTATTTTTACATCAAAATAATAAGATAATAGAGTGTTAAAGCATATAAAATACTTACACTTGTAAATAAATTTTGGAAATATTTGTGTATGACCCTTTAAGTTAATAAACATCTTTCATGAAGTTTAAACAATTTTTGTTACAGTCCAGTATGGTTTTTAATTTTCTTTTTATTAGCTCCAATAAATCATAAAACCACTTTAGAGAATGTACAAATATTATTTCTTATTTTTCTAATCTTTTACCTTATATTTTAGACTCAGAAAAATTATTTGAAAATTTTTCAAAATGTATATCTATTTTTCCATGATTTTTGTGTTTATAATAGATTAAAAATAGCAAAACTAGTTTTACTCATCCAAAATTCATGAAAATTTACCAGAAACTCTTATAATGTATTAGCATGCTACATATATGTTTTGATGAATTTTCTCTTCTCTATGCTATTTTTATTCTATTTTCCCAAGATTTAATACACTTAAATGCACAAAAATCATAAAATTGAGTTAAACAGTTTAGAAATCTATTTTTATATTTTTTCCAGCTTAAGTATGTGTAATAACACTTGTAAAAATAATTTGGTGAATTTTTGAAACTATTATCTATTTATTTGTATTTTTATAGAATAAATACACAAAAATCAGAAAAAAATGTGTTAAACTTTTTGAAAACACATATTAATAAGTTTCCTAGATTATTTACACTGTAAAACAGTTACACAAAAATTATAAGAATTTTTCATGTTAATTTACTATATTTCCATGATTTTATGATTATTTAAGGAATTAAATGGTGAAAAATAGTCAAACATATCAAAAATTCAAGGAAATTTATCTTATGGTTTTTGAATTCAATTAAAACTAAAATGCAAAGTTTGGCAAAGTTTAGAACTAAATTGATTTAGTTTTGAATATTTAGTCATTGAAACACCTCTTAAAATGTTAAATATTAACATTTCAATGAGAATTTTCCACGTACATTGTTATATAACAATTGATTCTTTGAAATTTAATTTCTACAAAAAAATATTTGTAACTTATCAATATTAAATTTTGAAACAATATTGGCATAATTCTATTATAGTAGTAAGTATACCATTGTTATATTTCGATTAGAGACTCACTAGCAAATACCATTATTGTAGGAATCGATAGTGGTACACATGGAACGTAGTTCAAGCCACCATTTGTATCATCTCAATGCATTGTGAGTATTCATGACTCCCCATATTTTCGGTTTTCAAATGTTTTGGGGTGGAAAAGCATGTCCTAAACTTTTTATGTTCCTTGTATTTATTTTGTCTCATATGAAACTTGGTTGCTATATTTCGTATGTAGGTGTATGTTAGTTTAATTCATGAGGACTGTATCGCGGTTAAGTCCCTGGAATCTATAGACATAACTCATTAACTCTTTGATCCTATGGTTATTATGGATAACGCTATCTGGAGGTAGACAACTCCTCACTCGCACGATTCGCTTGAGTGCATTTTACCATTTTATACACTATGTTTGCGATACATATAGTAGTCAATAGGGCACGATTCGGTCATTAGGCTTGGGTTGTGAACTCATGAATGGAAACTTGATGCACAAATGAATCCTACATCACATTTTAGCAATGAAACTTTTACACTCATTGTATCAATAAAACTTGTTTAATTATTATAGCAACGAACATTGTTTATGTAAACTTATTTACTCATTTGCTATATATTTCTATTTATGGAAACTTTATTTCCCATGAGAAAATAAACGTTGCATCTCATTTGGGCAACATACATTATCTCTCATGATGACAATGAACTATGTTTATATAAACTTATTACTCATTTTAGCAATATATTTTTATCTATGGAAACTTATATCAAATCTTTGATTTCCATTCATGAAACCAATATTAATTTGTAACATGTGAACTCACCAACTATTTTTATAGTTGACACTCATTTTACATGCTTTTTCAGGAATCATTGAGTAAGTGGCACTTAGGGACACTTCACTTTTTGGAGCATTCGCATGTGTTGTATTTCAATTTATAGTGTAATTTCTTTTAAAAGTTGTTCAAACCCATTGTAAAATTGTAATGATTTTTAATACTATGGTTGGTGTAGTTTGTTAACTTTTGCTATGAAACCGTTTATAGTGCCACGCCTCGTGTTTCCGCTTTAGCGGGGTGTGACAATGTGTCACCAAGCTGCTAGTACATTTCCATGAGACAACAAGTTCACGTTGGATGTGGTTGTTTATGTGTTTCTTTTCGATGCTAGTGATGTGTTCAATAAGTCTACCTACAGAACTCCTGATGATGTTCCTACTCACATGGATGATCCCTCAACCAATGCTATAGAAAAAATTGTGAGTTGTCCCGACTACACTCTAGTTTCTAATTATCCTCCTTCTGGTGATGCATAATTATGTGTGGAAATGATGATTAAAGGAGGTGATATCAAGATCACCAATTTGTTTCCCTCATTGTAAAAAAATTATGTTCCTTTAAGCTTCCTCCTCTAACCCAAAATCAAATTTGACTTCTAATCCTCTTCTGATGACATGGACCTAGGTGAAGGTGGAGAAGACAATCAAGAGAAATCATCTACAGTTGGCAGTGTTAGTGGTGCTAGTCCTGATAATGATTGTGATGATAGTAATAACGAACAAAACAAGTTAAGAGAAAATTTTGGTTCTGATATTGGATCATTGGACGAGAATAATGTTGTTCCCTTTATGTTGCTCAAGATGCGAGACAAGATTGAGCGTGTCGACAATAAAGTTGAAAGTGCCAACGTTCAGGTTGGAGCCATGAACTCAAAGTTGGATTTGATTATTAAATCCATTTTTGGATGTCAAGTCAGCCACCTCATCCATTCAAAGCCAAGAACTACAACTAGACCACTTGATCTTGTTCTGACTCAACCACTCAATGGAAGAATCTGAGCAACAAGACTCAAATATCATCAAGCATAATGAAGATACTATTCATAAAATGCTTACAATTCATGATAAGCTAGTTAGGTTGACAAATGAGGTAATCAAGCAAACTCATGTGCTACACGTAAAGAAAATTCAACGCTTGGAAAGGGAAATCCACTCAAAGGTTGGAATAAACCTCATCTTACAACAGGTCCTCATCAAATTCATTTAGTCTGCCCAACACCTCGTGGACATTCCGAATTACAAATTGATGAAGTACTTCATATCTTTGAAGACACGCTTGATACACTAAAAGCTCAAGCCCTCACCAATGATGTGTATGAAAATCTTTCCAAGATGGTTAATCTAAGCTTTCAGAAGGTATTAGACAAGACTAAAGAGATCAAGGAGACAATGTTATTTGCACCAAAGGTTGGGCCTTCCAATACAAGAATAGGATAAATCACTATAAGGAGATAGAAGCCAAGCTAGAAATTCCAACTCTAGGATGAAACTACTAACGTGGAAGACTAATGTGAGTTGATGGTAAATGAGGAAGATGACGATGTTGTGATGGTAAATTAGAAAGTTGTCTTAGCACTACAATCCGAGAAAGAGTCGCATTCGTTCAGAAAAATCATTTCCGGTGAAGAGAAAAATAAAATGTGTCTTACTGGCCATCAAACATAACATGGAGTTGCCAATACTCAAAATAAAGCCAAATATTGATGCTTTCCTAAAAACGCAACTGAGGCTACCTCCAATCCCTACTCATAAGATCGCTATAATCGATGAAGGGTCCTTTGTTCGGAAGGATGACGGTCTTCCTTCTCCTGAATTGGTCTAACCAATTTTGGAAGACATTAACACTCTATCTGCTCAAAAAATTATACAACTCACCCTAAGAGCTCCAATCATGTAACACCCCATTTTCGCCTTTGCGTAGAATTCAATATAAACCGTTGTTTATAAAATTTGAAACACAAAGTATTAATTTTTTTTCCCAAATACGCATCATAAACATGTAAGGAACGTCAATACAATTTATGTACATATATAGAACACCTGAATTCGACTTCGAATGAAGAAGTTATCATTCATACACGACTCAACGTATCATAAAATGTAAAATTTATATAGGTTTCTTGTTAGCCTAAGAAATTTAAATGTAAGTCATAGTATTCATAAAACTGAGAGCGTGCATATAAAGAGCAGAGTGTCCAAATCAGACTTCTTACGAGGAAGTTATGATTTTTCCAAGTTTTAGCATAGTAGTGTGGGCACATAAATCAAAAATCAAATTGGTTGATTATTAGACGAAACAATCTAAATGAGACTTGAAGGTCTTGTAAATATAAACTGGTCGATATAGAGAAAGTCAGAACGGAGTTCGTAGGAAGGAGTTATGCATTTTGCATGGACTTTTATGGTCTAAGTATTTTCAGAAACCTAATTAAGAAATAAAGTAAGAGGTAGCCGACACAGTCTAAATGAAAGTTATTTGATCTCGTCGATAGCTACATGTAAATATAAATAGTGTTGAAAACAGAGCTCATATGAAGAATATACGATTTGTTGAAAAAAGTTTGAATATGTGTGTGTGTGTGTGGCGCGCCCCGACAAGATGTGGGGAGCGCTCTGATACATCACCAACTATCCAACACATGTCATCACCAAACAATGCTACGTGGCACCATCTAGTACCACCCAAGAGCATGGCACACTTGGTGGGTATGTGTGGTGCACCTCCCCAAAATTTGCCTATAAATGTTGATTCAAACCCCCATTCATTCCCACACAATTTCAAAACTCTCTCTCTCTCTCTCTCTCTCTCTCTCTCTCTCTCTCTCTCTCTCTTTCTTATTCTTAGGCACGAAAATAGGTTCTATATTTGGGATTTTTGGAGTATTTTACTTTAGCAAAGCTCTAGAGAATTTGAGGGATTATGAGTTAGTAGCTCTCGGGTTGGATTTAAGTGTAACTTATATTGATATTCATAGTCGTTGTAATGGATATATGAATAAGATTTATCAATACTTCTAGTTATAATACCGATTGATCTACTTACAGGAGAGGTGCCTAGAATGGTCACATTAGCGTGGTTGTTGGATTTCAGAAAGGATATATGCCGAAATGGTCCTGCCTCCCAACTGTCTGGCCTGGCTAATCCTTATTTGATAGAACTCTCAATATAGATGGGGATTAGTGAAATATCTAGCTTCATTACTAGATCATCATAGATATTACTAGGTTAAAGTATTAAAGGTTAATACTCATTAGGCACATTGACCACCAGTGGGATCACTAAAAAGTCTGTTAATCTTCTAAGAAAATTTACAGGTGAGTTTTCTCACTATACTATGTATTACAATACATTTCCATGTACGTTAGGATAGAGCGCTTGTAGGGTAGAAAGTTTAAATGTGCATGCATTAGTAGAATCTAAGGTGTAACTCTATATATGTGATTGTTGTGATATTAGACCTAGGTAGGGGTTGATGGTGGAATGGTTAAAGAGGACGGGAACATGTAAACCCACATAGCGTTAGTTAGGGGATGATGGTTGTAACGCCCGTAGATTAGGGCTAGTCAATTTAGAGACGATAAGCGTCAAAAATGAATTTTTGAAAGAAGATTATTTAGAATGACTAATCTTAACTAAGTTGTATTATATGTCACAAGGTTTTCATGCATATAAAGAAAGCGGAAATCCAAGTTATAACGAAGAACTTATGACCTGTCGAAGTTTCGTGACAGAACTGGCACGACGTTGATTGACGTAAAAGGGTGAATTTACGTTAGATTGATATTTAGCCTTAGTGACCTAAACAAAAGTCGTAGATTTCATTAAACCATGAGCGTGCATAAAAAGAACGTCCGAATCTGACTTCGTATAAGGAAGTTATGATTTTTCTAAGTTTCGACTTAGCGGTATGCAGCCCAAATACTCGATTTGAGATCGAGTGGTTTTTAGCCAAAACAATCTAAACGATAATCGAAGATCTTGTTGATAGTATTCCAACGGTAAAAAGACAGACGAAAACGAATGTCGGATTAAGAAGTTGTGAATTTATAACGGAGTTTTCCTGTCTCGGCCTACTAAAAATAATATAATAAAAATAAAGTCAAAATTAGCCAACGGAGTCTAAATGAAAGTTGTAGAGCATAATCTAACCTACGTGTGCATGTAAAGAACGTCGATAACAGAGCTCGTATCCAAAAGTTATGAATTTTTGAAGATCATGGCATGCATACCAAAGCTTATCCGAAGCGTACGCCCATCGTAACCAAGATTACGCCCAGCGTACTTGGAAATTATGCCAAGCATAATCCCACACCCAGCAGCCTACAAATAGAAACCGAGATCAGCCATTTTCTTTGCTCATTTTCTTTCTTCTCTCTAAGTTTTTGCCTCGATTTGCGTGCCAATTATATCGTGAAGCCCTGGTATCATTGCCGAGCCCCGAAGCAAGTTCCGAAGTCCTGAAGATCCCGCGAAATGAGATTCCCAAGCCGAAGCCCTGCCCACGAGGAGCCCGGTTTTTTTGAAGATCATCCACATCTACCCAAGAATACTATTTCTACAAGTCGTAGTGTTGTCCGATCATATTCTGATCAAGTGAGTGTATAGTCACTTTCATCTTACACATAGATATGAAGTATTTTATAAAATACGTGTTATGTGTGTGTGTATATATATACATATATATTGTCGTTTATATGCGTGAGTGCATAATTACTTTCTTCTAACACATAAATATAAAGTATTAGCTATGAAATACGCGCTATGTGTTATATATTAGTAGTCTATTTGAGATGGACTTGGAATTGAAGTTTTTATGCAGGTGTTAAATGATTTAAATTGTGTTTGTATTTATATCTACAAAAATGTTGGGTAGAACATGGGTAGATGGAATAGTTAGTGACGATGCGACTTCGTGCCTATTTGATAAACCTTGGTGACGATGTGACTTTGTGCCTTTTGTGTAAATCCATGTGACTATGAGACGTACTGCCTACTGTGTAAACCTTGGCGACTATTAGACGTAATGCCAATTGTATGAACCCAGGTGACTATGTGATGTAGTGCCTGTTGTATAAACCGTGGTAGCAAATGAACTTTGTGCCAGTTCCTTAGGTAAATCCTTACGAATAAATGAAGAAAGTATAGTCGATTGTTAGGATAAACCTTAAGAAATAAAGAAGATAATGGGGATGGGTAATTGGGTTGATTGTTTTATGATTGAATATAATAAATATATTATTGTGGGTTGAAAACCCTATATGCTCACCAGGCTCCCAAGCCTAACACACTCAGTTTTCTTTGCATTATAGGTAATCGCACAAGAGTATAAGTTAGTGGACTTGACGAGAGATTTTGGATTATAAATCAGTGGTTATAAATGACTGTTGTAAGGTCTATTTTATATTGTTTATGCTTTTGATCTGTATCGGAACATGACATCCCGAGGTTTTGTTATTTAATAAAAATACATTGTTTTTGAGAAATATTATTGATAAATGGTTATCATATTTTGTTTTTGGGACAAATTCTGCAACTGTTTTCTTTAAAGGATAACTCTGATTTTAAAACAAAGCATAAACAAATCGGTATGTTTTGGCCGTGAAATTGGTGATGTCACAATGGTGGAACGGTGAAAGAGATTGGGAACTTATTCCAAGATATATATTGGCAAGTCGTGAACCATATTTTGTATGCATGTATATGTATTGGGGTATATGGTATTTTGAAGAACTCACTAATCCTCGTGCTTACCTACTTGTTAATAAATGTTTTTCAAGCACTTCGTGAGAAGAGAAAGGTTTGACTGTGCACACTTGCATCGACCACAGGTATTCGCACAATGTAAAATTACACTGATATATATATATATATATATATATATATATATATATATATATATATATATATATATATATATTCTAATAAATAAAAATAAAAAATTTTTCCTCTATATTTGGGACGTAACAAGTTTTTATCATTGCCCTAGTTTGAGTGAACT